CGTTTCTGTAATTAGGGCTTGCAGTAACACCTCAGATACAATTTAACAGCCCTGTCAAATCACAGTGTCAGTAACAGGTTCCAGGTCGTCCAGTACTGTGTTTAACCTCTGCTTAGATTTACCAAAGGAATGTCGGCTCATTTTAAAAATACCCACTCCTTGCTCTTTCACCTATTCCGCCTAACATATTTGGGCTAGGCATTAAGTAACACCATAATCCTGATTATCAGATTACAAGCAGTTTTCATTGTAACCCATTTTCTAATGTTTAAAAAGCAACAAGAACCACTGACTTAATTGTAAATCAATTTGCTAGTCATACCGGGGCACTTATCTGATAAAATCTTTTTTTTTTAATTTAGAAAAAATAGCACTTCCTGAGCACTTCACAATGATTTCATGTTACAGCCAGTCTAAATATATGCAGAAAACAGTCTTTTCTGGGGATAGTAATCCAAAAATTTTAAATTGTTACTGTCCATTTATATGGCATGCAAGTTCCATCTTCTCATGGAGACATTTTTAAAACGCAAAAGATTTATACCACATGTAGAGAAACCAGAGTATAAGAGACTATATTTTCAAGATTAAAGGAGAAATGCACTTTAGATTGATTATAGGCCAGTGGTAGGTCTGTCCTTCCTCAGAGATCCCAGCCCCACCCAGAGTAGGATAAAATTGAGATGAGGCCATTTGATTTATAACACATGTAACTTTTCAGTTTGTAACACATTTTTTTCTTATTTTTTTCTTACATCATTGTAGTCCCCACAGTTCTACCACCATATCACCCGTGAACCACATTTTCTCTCATGTTCTTCCCTCCCCTGGATAACACATTTAACTTAATCAAAGGTGTAATGTAACTGAGACCCATTTATGGTGTCTTTTGAAATTAGAGACATTTATGTTTGTGAAGTCCAAACTCAGTGTATCATCTCAAGTAACCTAATTACGGGTTAGGAATTGTGAAGAATATGTAACTCAGAAGGCAAGCCTTTACTCTTTCCACAATTCTTCATGACTTATTTGTCCCAGTCCTTCTGACATGCAAATTGTTAGTGAAAACTTTTAATCAAAAAGTATTAAATCATTTGCTGATTTCTTGAACTCTCAATGTTTTAATGTGGTTTTACAATCACCTTGTCCTTATGTTGTTACTAGGAATCTAACCAAAATTGAAATCTATCTTGTTAGTTACTGTTCTCTGCCCTTATCCCCATCCTTACCTCTTATCTTGGACGTGGATAAATGTCCAAGGTTCTTGGTGTGAGCTCTGCACGCCTCCATCCCTCATCCCATGATTCTCACTTGACTCTAGAGAATAGGAATGATTACTCATGCCGTTTGTTACCTCTGTGCCTTTTTTGCTTGTTTGTTTATACATGCACTGGGTACAGTCAGAAGCGCGGGAGGGTGAGAGAATTCACCAGAGCCAGAGCGGGGAGCAGAGCAGGCAGAAGGACCGAAGTACACTGCTGAGGGGAGCAGCGGGCGGCAGGAGAGGTCTGCGCGCCATGTGGGACCCTCCTCCGGTGGCCGGGGAGCAGCCGGGGATCGAACCGGGGTCGCAGAGGCCTCGGGCAGCTTCACAACCCAGCGCTCAACCACTGCACCACCGGGGAGGCCCACCTCTGTGCCTTTACTCAACAGATACATGGCATGGGATATCCTTCTAGTTATCATTTTCACCTGAATCTATGCTTTTTAAAAACTCAGCAAGCTCTAAAACCCATTAGAAAAGCCAATGGGTTAGAAGCATTTTCTTGGCAACCCCACAATATACCTTGAGCACAAGCTTGCTCTGTAGAATTGACTCTTCTCTCAGACTTACTAACTTTACTAAGATGATAACCTAGGACAGTGTTTCTCTAACTTAGACCACCTGCATTAGAATAATCCTAATGATTAAATGGTGTCCCAAGCCCTACCTAGAACCTACTAGAATCTGAGTAGGGCAAATCTGAAAAAGACTAAAATTGAAAACCTCTGGCCTATAGAAGGAGAAATGAAGAGTAACTCAGAGATCACATGGGTTTTAGAATGTTGCTTCTATTTCATACCCAGTCAACTAGGTTTATTTCCACAGAGTTTATACCTCTGCTAGTTTTTATAGGAAAGCTAAGTTCACTGTGTACTGGGTGATTTTTGCACACTTTACTAAAGGGGCACATCTTTTTATGGACCAATTTTCATTCTTTTGTTCTTCCAGTTCTTTTTCTGTATTTCCTCTTAGCTTCTTTTTGACATTTTTATTGAGATACCATTAGTTTACAACACTGTATATGATTTAAAGGAATAGGATCACCCCTTTTGGGTGTATGCTACCTTTTACCATACATCTTCTTGGGACAATGTGGGCTTCATTTTTTTCTACAAAACATACCACCACCAAGGATAAAAAAAAAAAAAAGAATACCAAACAGTACATCCTAAATGCATAAATATATGTCTTTGTAGGTACAAAGCTATTTTTGAATTTTTACCACCACAATTTGCTTAAAGAAGCAATAAACTAGATTTTATACAACAGGGAAAATATATGTGAGTATATACACACATACACATATGTGTATTTAAAAATCAGATATGGATTGCCCTTTAATTTTAGTTGGCAGAAATATAAAAGTGCAAATTCTCTAAATAATTGACTCACACAATATGTGACAATAAATCTAATTTTCTGTGACATCTGAAAGTAACAATTCTATACTCAGTTCAGTACTTATGTGTCATGTGCTAAAATAAAAAAAAAAAAAACCTAACCTAGAAGATAAAATCTTCAGTATAATAACCACAAAGGTGACTATTACATTATTATTAGACCATGCCTCCATGTGTGTTGATGTATAAAAATTGTGCTGAGTACATAAAATATATATTAGATAGTTCTCTCATCATAGGCACAATCTAATACAAAAACATATTTATCACTTATAAATGAAAAGATCCATTTGAGAGCTTCCAATATAGGAAAGGGGAAGAATGAGTGACGTCAACATAAAAAGGCACACGTGGATGCAAATAATCCTGCTTATATGATTATTTTCTTCAGCAGAGGGGGTAAAGAGCATTTTACACCAAGCGAAATTACCAGGCAGACTACAGTAGTTCACAGGCTTTATAAGTCATGGCACGCAGGCCAGGTAATTTTTAAGAATTCTTAACTCAAAATAGACTTGGATTTCAGTCAACCTGATAGTATCCTTGCATCGTGGCTTTGATATTTTAGAGTCTTCATCTACCCCTTCTCCATGTCCTACTGCCATGTGAACACATGCATACTAGGGCTAAATGCACCAAACCTCTGAGAGACTGCTCTAACTATTTAAGAGAACCAGCTAGAAGTTGGTACAAAGATGTCTACTCCTTAACGTGGGTTAACCACAAACTTATTTAAAACTCTCAAAATCTCTCTGGAGAAATAAATTTTTTTAAAGCTCTTAATGCAGAACACTTTTTGAAAGAATTCTAAAGTATAGGGTTTATGTAATCTTTGAATAGTGAATAAAAGTTTGAATAATATTTAAAATGAAAATTCAAGTATGTTTAAACTGAAGAACTTCCAAGATTCAGAATGTTCCACAATTGTAACCAAGAAGTTTGCAACATATATTGCAATGAAGAAGACAACAAAATGGCTTGAGCCACATGTGAAAGATTCATAATGTTCTTCCTTTCAGCATTGATGAAACCAGGTGGCTAATATTTTTAGACACCAGTTTTTCTCTTCAGAAAGCTTCTACTAAGCTCACAGATCTACTCATTCACTGAATGCAGGATAGCAATCTTTTCTCTTTAGCCAGAAGCTCAGACCAGTGCAAAATTCATAACATGAAGAATTTCCATGTGAATTAATACCTTGGAAGTGAGGATACACAAATTTTAGCAAAGTTATTGAGGAAGGATCATTTGGAAAATGACCACTCCCTCAAAACTAGACTAAGTAATTAAATCTGCCAACATTCTAGCTGCTTTTCCCAGGTCTTATTTTGAAAAGAAATATAAAAGTACTGACATTGCAAGAGATCATGCTTCTGCCAAAAGGTTATGTAAATAAATGACCCTAAAATGATTGTCTTTTGCTCAATATAATTTTTTTCTTAAATTTAACCTTAAGACTGAGTCAAGTTAGTCACACAATTATGGCAGAAATATGCGAAAGTGACAGAAGTATTTATACTCTTCAAAACCCACAGGTGTGCAATACTAAATAAAGAAGTAAACTGAATGACAATAAAACTTTGTAATGAAGAATTGCAAAATAACTTTGACCTCCTTTTGTAACACTGAATAACCTGAGTGAAGGGAAAAATGATTAAAGCCTGGTAATAGAGCACTTAGCAAACCCTTTGCCATCAAATATTTTGAAGCAAAAAGCCATATGTTCATTCAACAATAACCTTTCCAAGGAATGAACCTTTTGAGGAATTCGTATCTCAATAAAAGATTTCCAAATTTTGGTAATTAGACAATTTTTAAGAAAGAAAAACTCTTTAAAAATATAGGTATTATTTGTCTAGTTTACAGATGAGGCTTTCTAATTAAATTAGCAAAACAGTTACACTTTTGGTTACAAAACTACTTGCTTCTATGTGGGTAGCTTTCAATGGAAAAGAGTGTTCATCATTTTGAAATATTTTGTATATAATCTGAAGATCAGTGTTTCTGGCACAAGTTTATGCTTTTTAGCATAAACTTGTGATAACCTATTTTTATTTTACAATAAGAATATTCAGTCCACAGTGAGAGAATTGCACCCTATTCATAGTTCCACCGATAAGCCACATGAAGTAGGATAAGTTAATTAGCTTTTCTTTGCTTCAACTTCAGTGTCTGAAAAAAGGGGAATAAACATTATCTGTGCTGCTTTTCACAGGAATAGTTTGAGGATAAAGTAAAACACTAAAAAGCACTTTTATTTTTTTTCAAAACACAATATAAATGCTATGTCATGATATTGTTAATAATTTTACAGGTACCTTTTAGTGTTACCCCCAGTCAGATGTGTGCTTAAGATTAGGCGTTCCTATAAGAACATAGGTTGAATAGTTTGATTGCATTTTAAAAATAATAAATCACAAAACTAAAATGTTTGAACAAGGTCACTTAGCCCTCTCCCCAGGTGGTTAGTTTATATTACTATTATCATCAGTATTATTACTTTTTAGGTATATGTTTAAAAGAGGAGATCTTTAATATGTCAGCTTAAATGGAAAAATGTGTCCCTGGCACAGGTGGTTTTCAGAAGAAAAGCCGATCTTCACAAGAGCTGTGTCCTCGGTTTTTATTTTAAAGTGCAGAACCTGGGTGGGGAGGGACAGAGTGGGAATTCCAGGTCTGTCACTGAGGAACCAGCTCCCTCAGAGAGGCTAGAGCAGCATGGATGCGGACATGCAATCTGTTTTCAAAGTCGTAGCCAGAGAAATCCTCCTGTAAAACCAAAGAAAGACATTTACTGACTCTGACCTGAGTTTTTGTAATACTGCACTGTGAACTAGGCTAAGTTTTGTATTTTCCAAAGTAAAATCCCTTACATTTCTACTAAAGTTCTCAAGTTCACTTCATTTTCTAAGCCCCAAACCTCAAACTTCTTGTTCATCTTTAAAATGCCAACCACATGTCATCGATGTTGTTGGAAAACTTTCCTCATGTTAGTCATGAAGCACTAGTCTTAAGCTCTGCTCAACATGAGCTGCTGCTTGAAATTCTTAATCCTAAGAACCTAGTTATGAAATCAAGTTATTTTCCCATGCAAACAAGAAGCATGTTCATAAAACAGGATGAGCAAGTTCATACTGATTTTTTATGATCTTGGAAATTGCACTTAAAGTCAAGTGCTCACTGATTCAATTAGTCATCACTTTCCCTTTCCAGAAATATTTTCAACTAGAACAACCATCTCACAAAATTCCTTGAATTCAGACTCCTGTGTACACTACAGTGGATGAGGAGAACCACTTGGAAGATGTTGATTCAGTAAATTACCTTTGCTTGAAGAAGTAGAGTTCTGCCTCTTGCTACAGTCTATGAATGGAAGAAAAGATAAAATGTCTTAGTATCTATAATATGTAATTACATATAGTCAAGCAGAAAATGCCATAATGGGGTATGTTAATTAAAACAATTCATAGTAGACAAAGAGATGAGTCAATTGCTCATTCAAGTATAATGACTCAAATTTTCTTTCATATGAAGATACTTACAAGTTTACATCTAGACATTAACTGAAAAATAATTTCATAATTTTCACTACTATCCTATGAAATATTACAACTGGGAAGAGTTGTCATGATTTAGGTTAAGATCTCACTAAGTAACCTAAAATTAGTGATAATTAAAAGGCTTATTTGGAATTAGTAAGTTATATCTCCTTTTGAAGGCGTTATTAAGTGAGAACATCAACTTTTTTTCCCAAAAACAGAACAGTGTTGTTATATTTTATGTATATATGTTAAGGTTACACAAAGAGTAAAAATGTCCTTAAAATAAAGAACATCTTATGAGGAATTTCTATCAAAATTCATAAAACTGATTTTCTATTTTTGACATTGGAATTCCATATGAAAAGATTTACCAACTAAAAGCATATCTTTGGCAAAGATAGGCTACATATTTTTGGGTTAAATTAATATCATACTTCTGTTGATTTAGTTCAACCTTTACTGGGTCCAACATCTTTGAAAGCCAAGTTGAATTAACTAAACATTAGAATTTAGAAAGCCAGTATTTCATAACTGAGTCCTAAAAGAAGGTATCAAGCATATTTGGGCATTACTGAAATGCTATTTTAAAAAAGAAACAACTTCCCTTTTACACTAACTTAGATATATACTTAAAAAATCCCCAAAATTGGTTAATAGAAACTGACAATTAAAAATTTTTAAAACAATCACATATCATTTTTATCTATTTCACTACATCTTTATTAAATTAGTAAGACATATACTGTTTATCCTGTTCGTAGGTTAGGAAGAAGGTATCTGGTTAAGTAATTTAACCAGAATGAGACACTAGAATAAGTGGCAGAGCTATAATCATAATGGGATTCTTTGTTCTTCTGAATAAGCACACTGCATCATATCACATCATTCTAAAAAGGCAATGATTTTCCCTCAAATGAAACTTTATCTGAAATTTAATTTGTAATTAATTCTAACTCTAGATAAAAAGTATTTGTCCTTCAACTCTATTTAAAGATAGGATCTTTAGGGCCTCTCGGTGGCGCAGTGGTTGAGCACTGGCCTGCGAATCTGCCCGCAGCCTCTGCAGCGCCATTTGATTCCTGGCCGACTGGCAAGGGTCCCACGTGGCACACAGACCTCTCCCGCCACGCCCGCAGCTCCCCTCAGCAGTGTGTTTCGTCACTCTGCCTGTTCTACTCCCTGTTCTGGCTCTGGTGAATTCTCTCACCCTCCCGCGCTTCTGACTGTACCCAGTGCTTGTATAAATAAATAAAAATAAAAATTAAAAAAAATTTAAAAAAATAAAAAAGATAGGATCTTTATCTTCTTGGACTCATTTTACATGAAATCAAGGAAAACAAAACAAAACACTGCACTCAAACTATTTTAAAATGAAGAGTGCTTTGTGCCTGCCTGTCCGTTTTCACATTTCTACTGATGAACATTATTTAAGAGAATACACAAAGTCTTACCTCTGGTTTGTCTAATAAAAGACATCCAAGTTCATAGCAAGCATATGGCTGAACATACAAGTTATTTTGACGACACAGCTCATCTTTAACAGCTCGTTGAAAGAACTGAAAGAATACAAATTTTGTTTGAATTTATTTACCTACCTAGCTTCATTTTCCTACCTAAGGCTCATCACATCTTCAAGAGGCTGAAAAGAAGGAACTCAGCAATTTCTGTATTCTACAATATATCAGATTTTCTCTTCTTTTGCATCTTTATTTCTTCCTATTCCTCCTCATCCATGTCTTAAAAGGCCTTTTACATGCTTGGCTGATAAACATCCTTCAGAGTATGCTATTCACTAGTGAGTCCAAATTGTGCTACTTAATTTCCAGTGGATATACCAGCCTCCACTGATTTATTGCTAAGAACATCTTTGCATCTCAAAGTTTGAACTATCGCACTTTAATAGTTAAACAACATATAAGCCAAGAACCATCCCTTATGCGTGTCTCAACTGTATCTTGCTGGTATTTACGTATATGAAATATAGTTATTTAGAGCTATGGAATTAACTATCATAACCCCACATTAAAGGTTAATTAAAAATTATAATACAAGTACATCAATGGTCCAGGATTTAAAGGCCAAAAGACTATCAGTATACATGAACTCTTTCATAGAGCACTCAAATCAATACCACAATACACTTTAAAAAAAAATCGCTCCAAATATCTGAGAATATGCTCCTTTTTCATACATGTCCACAGCATATCCTAAAACATCTTTCTAGATCTTACCTCCAGCACTGCAGTAATAAAAGAGAAGTGAACGTGCTGATGTGCCTGATCATCTTTGTTTTTTCTAACCATGGGGCTTCACTCTACTCCTTCAAAACTGTCCATCCCTCCTCCTCTAATTGAGACTGTCATTTTGAGAAATAGCTAATGCCAGCAAAGAAGTCCATCAGTAAAGAGGTTTACTATGAATCTGAAGTTACATTAAAAACTACTATTAACCACCATCAAACTTCTAACAGCAAATAAAGTGAATAAAAGTTCACAATGCAGTAGGAAGGTTAATGCTAATACATTTAAATTCCCCTTACTCAAGGAGCACAAGGGATTGAGGTGATGGTGCACGGGTGCACTGGTGAAGGAAATGCTATGGGGACTACACCTGAGGGAGTGGGGGGAAGCAAATATTGTTTAAAAATGAACAATGATGTAAAAAAATATATTAAAAAAAATCTTAAAAAATTCTCCTTACTCAGAGGCATGCACCTAGCCTCTTTTCAGTTTATTTTCCTCCACAATGACAACAACATGAACTGCTTACCTGAACAGCATCTTCTGAGTTTCCGAGACATTTGTGAATGGCACCAAGAAGCAAATACTTTAATCCCACAACAGATGAATCATCTACTTCATGACAAGCTTAAAGAGAAGTGAAAACAGCAGGAGAGAAATACATTCATTTAATTCTCTAAATCTGAAAGTTAAGAATTTCAGGGCCTCCCCGGTGGCGCAGCGGTTGAGCGCTGGGTTGCGAAGCTGCGCGCGGCCTCTGCGGCGCCGGTTCGATCCCCGGCTGCTCCCCGGCCACCAGAGGAGGGTCCCACATGGCGCGCAGACCTCTCCTGCCGCCCGCTGCTCCCCTCAGCAGTGTACTTCGGTCCTTCTGCCTGCTCTGCTCCCCGCTCTGGCTCTGGTGAATTCTCTCGCCCTCCCGCGCTTCTGACTGTACCCAGTGCATGTATAAACAAAACAAACAAACAAACCAGCAAACAAATAAATAAAGCATGCCTCTATAAAAAAAAAAAAAAAAAAAAAAAAAAAAGAATTTCATTGATTAGTGTTGGTGACTTCTTCAGTTCATGATTCTGCTCAACACTTAAAAGCTTTTCTCCCTTTCCTCATCCACTAGTGAGTATCCTTAGCAAAAATAAAACAAAAACAAATATATCAAACCTTACAGTGCCAAGAAGTCTCAAAATTGCATCATATTGTTACTAAGTGAAAGAAGCCAACCTGAAAAGGCTCCACACTATATGATTCCAACTATGACATCCTGCTAAAAACAAAATTATGGATAAATCATTGGAATTCAGGGGATTTTTAGGGCAATGAAACAACTTTGTATGACACTGTAAGAGTGGATATATGTATTTGTCAAATCCCATAGAATCTACAAGATAACAAATCCTCATGTAAACTATGGACTTCGGGTGGTATGATGTGAGTGTTGGCTCACTGGCTGTGCTAAATGTACTGCTCTGGTGGGGGATATTGATAGTTGGGAAAGTTGTGTGCATGGGGCAGTGGGGGAGGGGATATGGGTGAACACCAGACTTTTGCTCAGTTTTGCTATGAACACAAAACTGCTTTAAAAAATTAACGTCTGGGGCCTCCCCGGTGGCGCAGCGGTTGAGCGCTGGGTTGCGAAGCTGCCCTCAGCCTCTGCAGTGCCGGTTCGATCCCCGGCTGCTCCCCGGCCACCGGAGGAGGGTCCCACATGCGCGCAGACCTCTCCTGCCGCCCGCTGCTCCCTCAGCAGTGTACTTCGGTTCTTCTGCCTGCTGCTCCCTGTTCTGGCTCTGGTGATTCTCTCACCCTCCCGCGCTTCTGACTGTACCCAGTGCATGTGTAAACAGAACAAACAAACATAAATAAATAAATAAACATGCCTCTATAAAAAAAAAAAAAAAAAAAAAAAAAAAAATTAACGTCTGGGGCCTCCCTGGTGGCACAAGCGGTTAAGACACAACCTATGAAGCTTTCCGCAGCCACTGCAGCACGAGTTTGATCCCCGGCCAGGGAGCTACCCACAGGGCACAGCAGACCTCTCCTGACTCGCCTGCTGCTCCCCTCAGCAGTGTATTTCAGTCAGTCTGCCTGTTCTGCTCACCACTCTATCTCTGGTGAGTCCTCTCACTCCCCGCATCTCTGGTCTGTACCCCAGTTCTTGTATGCATAAATAAATAAATCTTAAACAATTAATAAATAAAAATTAAGGTCTGTTAAAATAACGATATTAATTTTAAAAACCATGCAGTGGGTGCTTTTACATGTTTGTATGAGGTACTGCACTTAGAGAGGGCCAGACCTGATTTCTCCACTTCAAAAAGCTTGCCATCTACTGTGGAGGACAGACATTCCTATTGGAGGATGACATGAAGTTTCCAAGGAAATGAAAAAGGTGGAAGTTGGAAACAATGATAATACAGACATTGAGATTTGATAAGATCTTATAAACACACACATATCCACAGTGCTATATATACATAACAATGTAGGCGTGTGTGTGTGTGTGTGTGTGTGTGTGTGTGTGTGTGTGTAAATATACATACAGAGCTCAAAGTTCCCAAACAATCAGAAGTAGTTGGAAGAGCTGGGTAGAATGGAAAGAAGGTAAAGGTACAGTGTGCACCTAGAGAAGCAGCAGATGCGTCTACAAGCTAAGGAGAACAGCTCCAAAGAGAACTTCAAAGAGCTTAAGGCAGCAGCATTCAGGAAAGGGGATGCAGTTCATTTGCTCACTTACTCATTCATTGAAAATCTACTGAGCACCAACCACATGCCAGTCGGTTCTAACCGTCTGAAATTCAGACATGACAAAACAATCCTGCCTCAAGAAAGGAGCATTTTACCAAGAAGACAGACAATACAAAGGAACAGTACAATATGATGTAAAAGAAGTGTATTAAGGTAAAAAATAAAGCCAGAGAGAGAGAGAGAGATAAGTGTCAGAAAGGAGCAGTTTAAGCCTCACTGAAGAGTAATGTTTCAGTAAAGACACAAATGGACCCTGGGGTTGGGGGTAAGAGCATCTGCACGCAAAGAGAAGAGAAGAGCCAGTTCGAAGCCATTGAGGCCAGTACGTGTCTGTTGTGTTCAAGAACTGGAAGGAGGGGTTTGGCTGGGCCTGGTGAGCAAGGGGAAAAGCAGTGAGAAGCAATGGCACGGAGATGGTGCAGTGTCCAGACTGTGGGGCATTGTGGGCCACTAGGGGACTTGGGTTTTTACTTTGAATGAGGTGAGACCACAGAGGGTTCTGAGCAGCAAAATAGCTATTATGAGACTTAGGCTTGTTTTTTTTTTAAAGTTTATTTATTTATGAATACAAGAACTGGGGTACAGGACAGAGGTGCAGGGGGTAAGAGGATTCACCAGAGACAGAGTGGGGAACAGACCAGGCAGAATGACTGAAATACACTGCTGAGGGGAGCAGCGGGAGAGACAGGAGAGGTCTGCTGTTTGGGCTGGGGATCGAACTCGTGCTGCAGAGGCTGCAGATAGCTTCACAGTGCTGTGCTTAACCCCTTGCGCCACCAGGAGGCCCCGAGACTTAGGTTTTGATAGGACAGTTTGGGTGCTGTGCTCAGAGCACACAGAAATATCTTTAAAACCCAGGGAGAATGCAAAGGAGAGGGGAGAGTGGCTGGGAAGGGTGATGAACAGCACAAATAAAGATTATGAGAATTCAATTTAATTCTACTGATGGGAGTTACAGGTGGCTGACAACTGAACGTACAAAGCTGTGTGGGGTTGAAGGAAAAGTTTAATAGATGAATATGATCACGGTCACCCAGGACCAGTTTTTCCTGGAACTTACCTTTTTCTACAAAGATTTTCACTGTATTCTATATAGTTGAACGAATTTGAATCATTACTGCTTAACACTGGTGAATGAAATAATCTAATTAATAGCTCTCAGAACTGGGTGGACATTTAACCAAGACATTAAAGAATTATCTCACTTTTATTCCAGAGCCTAGCTCCCTCTCCATGACTACCTGCTTGTTGTTAGTTTATTTTGCAACCTGGGAAGAAGTTCAGAGAATATTTAAGTCACTTTACATGATAATCATTCTTGTGCCTGCCAATTACTGCCTACTTATATTTGCATTTGTGTTTTAATTAGCTGTACGTACATGATCCTGCACTTGTGCATTAAGAAAGTACTTAAATTTCTTTAGTATTCCTTTGCATTAGACATTGGTAAATAGTCTAGACTTTCATGTGTTTAAATTATGCATATCCTTTTTAAAAAAACATCACAGAACCTGCACATCCTTTCAAGTAGTCTCCTTAGGAGGGTTGCCTGTCTACTCTAATTACAGGCCCCGCACAACTTTGGGAGGTGCATTACTTTGATCTCTGGAATAACAACGTTTATGAAAGTTTTGATCTACAAAAGTGGACCTTTTCCTTTTGGGTTTTTTTTAAATTTTTTTATTTTAACATTTATCTTTTTTTTTACATTTTTTAAGACAATATTTGCTTCCCCCCACCCTCAGATTGAATCCCCTAGAATTTCCTTTCCCAATGCACCCGTGTACCATCACCTCAGTCCCCTGTGCTCCTCCCTCCCTCCCTCTCACCCCTTCCTCCCTCTCACCCCCTCCCTCCTCCTCCCCTCCTGTCTCTGGTTTATAATTGTCTGTTTTTGCTTTGTTGTGTTTTGTACTGTTGTTTTTTTTTTTACACTGATGTCTTATTTGGTTCCCCTGTATTCCTGTTATAAGTGAAACCATCCAATATTTTTCTTTTTCCTTCTGGCTTATTTCACTGAGCATAATTCCTTCAAGTTCCATCCATGTTGCTGTGAATGGCATGAGTTTATCTTTTTGATTGCTGAATAATATTCCATTGTGTATATATTCTTTCGGTTTTATTTTTTTTGGGAAATAAGCAAAAAAATCTGCAGGGAAGTTTGATGATAAAGTAAGTGATGCCATGGGTGAAACTGTATTTGGGCAAAAATGAGTGACAAGGCGGAGAATCTGACACATTTTCTCCAGTAGCTAACAAACTCTTTGGGGAATAAATCCAAAATATTAATGCTGAACCTTTATTGGAAAAGGGCATCCTCTTTGTGAATAGAATACATTTCCAAAGTTATTCATCTTCTGGTAAACCATCTTTTGAACGTCTGTTTTAACTTTAACACTGCAGCCTCATGTGGAATCATATGGTGAGCTGCACGGTTTTAGTCTTTCTGCACTCCCAGGAAGACAAAGCTGTGTGTAGGAGCGGAAGCTCCTCCTGGCAGGGCTAGTCTGGCCAGAGAGCAGCTGCACCCACACTCCTGGGGAGCATCATGTCATGTCCTGCATGTCCTGGTCTCAGTTTCCTCATGAAATGGGTATGGCAATATTGTCTGTCCTTCCTACTTTCCTGCGCTGGAGTGTGGAGCAAAGAAATAATCTTTCAGACAAGAAAG